ATGCAGAAAAATGGTAATGAGTGGAATAACTGTATCAGTTACAGTAGCGTTTTTGATGGTGTATTGAGAACGTTAAACGTATGAGTTAAGAAAAGAGTCGTAGTGAACCCGCAAAAAGTAATAAGAGTTGCATATTTCATAGTTTTCATAAGCATATAATTCTACTCGCAAACAGACAACTTGTCCACCGCAATTGCTGACCGTTTGCTCTTAAATAAGATGAAGCAATGAGGTATAGAACGAAATTGAACTAATCGAGATTGCTTTGTGACATTCAGCGGAGTGAATAATGCCAGCAAAACGTCTCGTCAGGCGTGACTGTGGCCAAAAGTGTAATTTGGTGTCATTACTATCAATTCTGGCTTGACGCTGCTGCACATTGAAACACTTCATCTTAGTGGATTTAGAGTTGTGAAAATTTGAGCGATTCAATGGATTTCGTCATAGAGAATCTCAATTCCGAATCACACTTGCGTAATCTTAGAATTGACATTTCGTAGCGATTTTGAAAGATTTGTACGGTGGGAAGTACGAAGAGATAAATTTGCACACTGTGAGAAGTGATGAAACGCTTCCGTCTGGACGAGCGATCCTATAATCAAGCAAGGATATTATTACTGGATTTCGTTCAATGAAAAAAGTGCTAAAATCAAAATAGGCGAAAAGCAATCAGTTCATTTGATTTCTTTTGGATAGTGTCAATATGTTTCAGTGGAAGAGTATCAGAAGGCTGATTTAACAAATAAATAAATGAATAAAAGTCGACTAATAATTGTTTGTTCTTTATTGCAGAGGGTGTCGCAGGTGCGGCAGCGTTTCGTGCAGATGCAGCATTGGTTGTCACTTGGTACAATACGGCATCTGCGATAGCCGGACAGTCGGATATCGAAGCCGGCCGAGTGGCCACCTATCAAGTCATTTGGCTTACTGATCAGGTGAAGATTTCAATCCGAAACTCCAATCCATCTTACACAACCTTTGCTCATCATTCCCTCTCATTATCGTCGATGACAGTCGAGAAATTAAAACGCCATTTATGATCACTTATAATCTTTTCGAGATCCTCAGAAAGCGTGATCTTCTTCCTCAGTATGTACAATTCGATGCTTTTTCATCACGCATTCATTAAGGCGGACAATAAATTTTAAAAAAAAATTACAAATTTGTGAATAAGTGAGTTTGAAGTGAGTTTCATAATTATCATCACATTGAGTCTTCATAATTAAATGAGAGTCTTCAGCCAGGACGACTCAGCTACGTGATTATCAATTATGATAAGCTTGGATTTGATGCGGCTGATTTCCGAGGTAGTTCTCGAAGTGGTCGTTGTCAGGTTTGTGAACTTTATCAGTCTACTGATTGACGTGATCAGGCGAGAAGCTCTCATCAGCACAGATTATCTCATATCACTCGTTCTGTTGCATCCATTTATTTACGATTGTCAATAGGATATTTTCGATCTGAAAAAGAAGAAAACGTGTTAATCCCTCGATTGAACTATTTCAACTCTGTTTCTGATTTCTGACAAAGATGCGAAATGAAAATCTGCTCATAACTCTTATATTTTTAGGCTCTATTCAATGGTGGTAATCATACAGGTACGGTGCCGGTTGATCCCACGTTCATGTACAAAAATACGCCTAAAGTATTGGCTCAACGATCTGGCGTTCCACATATTGTGCGTGGACGATACATGTTCCGTGTTGATGATGTGGTTCGCCCATGCGGATGCTCGAACAAAACCGGTGGCACATGTGAGTTTGTTGAACGCTTTGATGCAACGTTCACGAGTCGGAACAATGTGCTAATTGATGATGTTCAAATTGTTACCTCAACATCGCATCCAATGTATTTTTGAGATGTGGATTGTCTTTCTGAGGAAATGATACTCATCTATTTCCATATTCCAAATTGCATCATACATTGTTGACCTTTTAATCATCGAATGTTCCTCAACTGAATTCAATTCAAGATCCGATGATGATATATCCGAACATAGTGAATATGTTGGGTGAAATGACGGTTGATGTGAACGCAATCTGCTTGGATCGATCACAGACCTACGTTCTCATGATTGAGCAACGACAAACGGCCAATTGCGATGTGTTGAATTCGGCGATCGCTCGTTGTCATATTCCGAAAATCTACGATTGGGGCACAAAAACTGTATATTTCCAACCACAAGGCGGAGGTGCAACCGATGATAAAGCTTTCGTCGGATATATGTATTTCGGTATGTGCACTGGATTTCTCGTAGAATTCATTATTGTATCGTCGTTGTTTTGATGTTGCACAATGCGTGCTTGATTGCTATTGACCTTCAATCGTGGATCATTTGGTATTATTATTCGTTTCAGTTCCACCGACTCTTGATCCGATGAGAATCGATATTGGTAATATATACAATTGGTTCAATAATCCCATTAAACAAACGGTATGCACTTCAAAGTTGTTCCTTAACATAATGAAGTAGTAAATGGAAAAAAAGAGCACGAAATAGTTCATGTGTGTTGCTCATCGAGGATTCAATAACTGATCGCTGCAGTTGACACAATGAGATGTAATTAATTGATGAAATAATGATTACGTCAAGCACTGAAAATATTTTTGAGCTTGCCTAAAGGATACAATTTCACTCGATTATCGTCCAAGCAATTGGGGTTGACTGACAGAATTCTAGACGACGTTTTGAACCATTTATGCTTGTTTTATTGGATACTTTTTGGATGGGATCAGCGAGGTTGTTCTAAACGTTGTGAGGCTATCGTAATGATGAAATTGCTTGAATAATGCAGTTGAGAGTGTGTAATTTAAGACGATGCCCTTGTCGTGGTATCCTCGTAATTTCACGAATCCCGATTATACTCAAATGGACCACTCGATGCGAATTAGTGATGATTCACTGTATGCCGTACAACTTGGACTTTACGTTATCGGTTACACTGAAGCTAACGATCCGAAGGTTAGTGCTCTTTCAACAACCTTATCGTGTGCATATTCTGGGTCACTAGTCGCTTGTAACTGACCAAGAGATCATCCACAGATCTTAATTCGTCTGATTTCCTAAAACCGATATTTTATGAATCTGAAATGTTGAATTGGAAGAGAATTTTTCAGCTGAGAAAATTCCGTCCAATGTTTCGAACACTATGTCGACTGGCAACATACTCGAATCGCAATACACCCGAATATCGCTTCACACCTCAGGAAGAACGAATCAATTTGCTGAATGTAAGCACTCTTGAATATCAAATGCGATTGATTTCATAGAATAGAACACCTTCCTTATTCAACAGTTTGAGCATGACTTGTGAATAGGACGTAACCATGTGTTGAGCTGGCCAGGATTCCTCAGGTGTGACTAGCTGGTTACATCTGGGGTGATCATTGCGACTCATCAGACATCAGTTTCTGATGTTGTGCGTTCATTTCATACGGCC